CCGTAAAGTTTTGAATTCTACTTTTAGAAGAAAGATTTAGTTTATGGTAAAGTTGGCTTTTTTTTTTTTTTTTAGAAAATGAGAACTTTTGTTGATCAATAATAAAGATTTTACAAAGGAATACAAGATTCCAAATATATCAACCTTCTTGGTTCTTCTACGGTTTCATTTTCTATATTTATAGTTGTTAGAATATTGCATTCACGATTAGAACTTGTCCCCTGATCTGAATTTGCAAAGTCAATGATAGATGGCTGGGTAACTATAAAAAAATTTTTTAATGGTTGATGCAATTTCAACTAATTAGTTAAATAATTATTTGTTGGAAGTACTTAATCAAACCAAGTTTAATCACAAGCATTAGACTTTAGATAATGTAATAAACAAGTCAACAGATATAGTCATAGACTCTAGGCGTAGAAAAATTGCCAAGTGTTCGTCCTTCACACACTGATTGGGAAGATTACTACAGTCGTAAAATTAGTAGCTATATTCTTAGGATTGAATGAGAAGATAATGTGCCAATTCTGGTTGGAAAGAAACCGTTCTATTGTCCTCGTCATTTCCAAGTCTTGGTATTGCTGGTCCCAGAAGCACTTATCATAAAGTTGAGAATGAAAGAAGATGATTTTTGCCATTTTCACCGGCCCACAGCACACGTCAAAAGACTTGTAACGTTCGTTCAGATGAGAAAACATAACTTGAAAAGATATAATTGTTTTTGTGAGATTAGCGTTCTAATATAGCCATTTTAATATATTTTTTTTCTCTGGCTTAGCTAGTATACAAGATTTGAAGGGAGTCAAGGTCAACTTTTCGCCAAAATACAGTAACTCGTTCGCCAGTCGCTAGTTAAAAAGGTAGTAAGAGACATGAGACATTTGAATTAGTTGATGAGATTTTGAGACTTTGTAGGTTTGATAAATTGAGCAATTTGGAGGTGAACAGAACTGGAAAATGGCGGTTCTTAGAGAACTGGAGATTGGAAAAATCATCTCATAGATGAAATGGTATCCGATCACTTACAAGCAAGTTTGACGGATCTGGATTAATTCCGTATGTTTGCTTCATAAATTTCTAATGAGTGGACAAGAAATCCAACATTGAACAAATAAAGATAAGGTGGAAGAAAAGCAAATTAACAATTGTTTGTTTTGTGGGTACCTATCTACATATTGAAGAATTCGAGCTCGTTGCTCGATTGTGGCATCATCACAATTTTGATTTGTGTGTACCGGTTGTAAGAAATGTTTCAGCACGAAAGGTAACGTATATCTTGGAATCCCACAAAGTGTGTGTATTTGTATCCCTTCGAGAACGAGGGATCATTGTTTATTGGGCAAATTATATTTTATTCCTCTGTGATTTAGCGTTTTTTACATAACCCCCTATGATTTTAAAAATTATACATAATCCCCTCATAGTTTGGATTAAAGTGTCAAATTAACGGAAATAGTCACTTGTAACGAAATTTCTAAAAATGTCGAAATTACCCTTATAAATACATGACACATTAACCCGTATAATTTTTATATTTTATCATATAACCCTCTTATGGTTTAATATTTTACCATATAACCCCCTTATGATTTTCAAAATATACACATAACCCGCCTTGATTAATACATAAATTTCAACTTTACATAAGGGTAATTTTGACATTTTAGGTGACGCCGCTATGAATGATCATTCCCGTCACTTTGACACTTTAATCCAAACCACAGGGGGGTTATATATAGCTTTTGAAACTATAGGCGGGTTATGTAAAAAATGCTAAACCACAGGGGAATAAAGTGAAATTTGCCCTAAAAAAAATGGAGGAACACGTTTGGAATTAAAGTTTAACAGGACAAGTCCATATATAAATTTCGTTCTTTATTAAATTACATGATCTTGAACATCTACTACATGTTCTTCTCATGACTAACACGCCCATTGCACGTGCTACTATCAAATAATGTCTTTTCAGTTTCATTTGGATCTCATTTTTTTCTCATTTGTTGCAACATTATGGAAGTCAAGACTGAGAGCAATTTATACTATCGCTTTGTGAAAGTATAAAAATGGATATTTTACTATGCACAGTTTGAAGACTGAGATTGATTGGTTCTGGAGATTATTAACAACTACATAGCCAACAACTATGCTACTAAATCATCGTTGTGAAAGTAGAAAAATGGATACATCCAATTTGCTCTGTTTACATGACAGGCTATTGATCATATTTGCTCAAGTACTACAAAGTTGCTTTTACAATAAGGTTATGCATAACATCATCGAGCACTCAAAGTTCTACTTCCTCAGCTAAGAAATACAGATTTTCAAGATTTAACTTAACTAGTAGGGACATTAGTTAAGTAATTGTAAAGTTCTTGGTTCAACTGTTAAGTCCTTCCCTTTTTCCCTTTTGGAATCTCCCCTTAAATTAAAAAAAAAATGCAAAAGAAACTAAGAAATGCCAGACGATGTTCATAGCTGCCCTTATAATTGTTGCAGTACATTTCTTGCATCAATAGAGAGTCAAACCAAACTCACAAATCTCCAGAATAATTTTTCTACTATTGTTTTTAGTACTACCATACACACTTAACTTACTCCTAACACACCAACTTCTTGTTTTGAAGGATAGAGAATTGAATGAAGTCACATCCTATTCTTAGCCAAGCAGAGTACACTAACCATTTACTGGCGTGATGAAGAATTTACAGATATTCTTAATGTTGTACATTAAATGGCAGTAAGTTCGTAATGGTTGAAGGGGAAAATATTATAAACAAAACCACAAGGGACAAAATCGATAAGTGGGCAAAACATTAAGGGAGTTTATTGTGATTAAAAATAAAAAAAAGGACAAACAGAAATAAAATTTAGAAAGCACATTTTAGCATGTTTGGTCTGTGGAAACACTTTCGTTTTATTCCTTCCTAATCGCATCCGTACTATTCCTACTTATAAAATGTGTTTCGTAAATGCATCTTTTAAACAAACAACACATTCTTTTGATTGTGTAATCTACTCTATGAGAATAAGTTTCAAAAGCCCAATCTTTCAAATTAATTATCATTTTCTGAAATTAACTCCAATAGTTAATAGACAATCTTTTTTTTTTTTTTTTTGGAAAAGAAATGCCTATAGATATATCAGTTAACAAAAAACAGACCATGGGCAATATATTGAAAGTTGAAACTTGTCTGGGGCCAATTTTCTTCATGTGACAACCATCCATCTAATCTAAATGGTATTTGTTTGGCAGCATTTCAATACATCTAGTTTAAACAGTATTATTTCATGCATACTATTCACAAAATGATATCAAGCCACTGATAGGTTGTAATTTTATTATTTATTTTATAATTAATTTTTCCTATTATCTGACCCAATGTGAATTAATTGTCAGATTCTATTTACTTTTGGCATTTGTGCTTATTACAGGAATTTGGAGCAAAATGTGATAAAAAGGCGAAAATTTACCAAATATGATTTGAACAGACAAAGGTAGTTCAGTACAAATAAAAAATGTGTCAACTAGGAAATCTCCTAGTTTGTTGGCCGCGGTTAAAGAGGAGATAGAGGTCAATTGTGAGGAGGACTCCAGGGAACCTTGGGAGAGCCAGCCGCCACAAGCAAAAAAGTAGGGAGAAAGCTAGCCTCGGCTAATTCATACTTCTTTTCTTTCCGTAGTATGAGGGATGGACAATCCCAATTAGGAGACCTGTTTTTAGTCTAAGTAGTTATTTTTATTAGGCCAGGAGAGGCCACACGAAGGAAGCGAAAAACAATTAGTCATTATTTGGCCTTAGCTGTTCTTTTATTTATTCTTAATTGAATCGGTTCTCTTCATCGCATTGAGGAACGATGTATGCAACAATTAATTCTGCAATTTTGCATGGGTTTTCCTCAACGGAGATGAACTAATCTCTTTGTTTAGTCAAGGAACAACAGATGCTTTGGTTCGTTTAAAAATTATGAGATCGATTTAATTTTATCTTTTTTATTTATTTATTGGTACTTACATATTTCCTGATTGTAGTGCTTATGGTTATTTAATTAATTGATTGTCTTGGATCCGGATAATGAGTTGATTTAATAATCCATTGTCAACTGGGGTATTAAATCCGTAATGGTTTAATTGCCACAAAATAGTGACGACTGGCATGATTAGATTTGTGTCAGGGAAATACGCGGGTTAACCTAAAATAACCTTGGTAATGCGTTATTTGGTTAGAATAGAGCTCCTCTAATACGTAAGGTAATTGAGGAATTAAATCTTACGGGCGTACCTAAAATTATTTCTCAATTAGAGCAGTGATTAACGGGTGTACCTTAATCACCGACACAGTAAGGAGGGGTTGACTGTCATCGCTTGTTTGACAGTTATAACCTATTTATTAGTAAATAATTGGAATTGCCTTTGCATCGATGATCAATTAGGTAAACCATTGTTGAAGTTATTTCTCGGCTAGACCTTTAGTTATTATTACTCTGATTTTAGTAATTCGTCATTTAATCTTTTGTTAGCTATTTATTTTTATTCGAACCATTTACTTATTGCCATTGCTATAAAAAAATCCCCCATTGTTACTTTGAACATTAAAAAGAGACAAATATCCCCAATCCCTGAGAATACGACCCCACTTGCCATATTTACAAATTAATAATTATTTGTGAAAAAGCCATCCCATTTGAGTATATTGGATCAAGCAAACTCTTCGGGAACATGGTGAATCAAGTAACCCATTGCACACCTAGAGTCCCTACTCCAGTACTTGGAATCGGGTTTTGATTATTTTAATTGGTAATTAAGTTTATTTTTATTATTGCACAGGCATCGATCACCTGTCACCGCCCTTAAACAAGTCCATGCACGGACTTCTTTAACATATCTAGTCTATTGGGGAATGCCATTGTTTTCAATTGGGCTTTAATTGCTGACGTGGCTTGCTTGCATTGGTTGATTGGTGGTCGTCCGGCCCGTGGGAATTCCGAATTGATGGTCGTCCAGCCCGTGTTAGAATTGGACGCCTGCTGATTGTTGCATTGGTTTTCTTTCTTTCTGACGCATTCTGTCGAGGATGGGACTAGCACATGGCTCGATGCATCATAATTTACAAGGTTCTCTTTCTCCTTTGTTCATCGCTGTTCTCCGCTATTCTCCTCTCTCTCTCTCTCTCTCTCTCTCTGAGACCATCTCTCTCTTTTCTTCTTCATTTTCATCAACCACCCCAGAGCCCTTCTAGCTCTCTTCTTCTCCATGACCGGCAACATCAGGACCAAAACATATGGTTGGTATTTTTTTTCTTTCCCTCCCTGATTTCTCTAGCCTTCTATTTTTCTTTTTAGGTTTAGTTGCCTGATCTAATCTAATTCGTATTTATTTGTGATATTGCAGGTGAAAATTTTGGAATCTCTTCCAACATTCTTGTGAGACTCTGTAAGATTTTTTTTCCTTTTTTTAAAATTGTGTTCTAAAACACGTTGTTAGTTTTGCTCTTTTTCCCCCCTTTCTTTTGCCTGGTATTCTTCCTTCTCTTGCCATATTTGTATCTCAATTTTGCTCTTGGCCAAAAAGTGTTAAAAAGGATTTAACAAATTTGAGAAATTTTTTTGGAACTTTTCCCGATCTAATGCCTTTATAAGAAATTTTTCCTGGTTTCTTTTTGTTCCTAATTTATGTTTTTTTTTTATATATTTCAAGTCATAAGTTTATTCATCTCTGCCACTTCGTTGCTCTCCAGAGCTCCTCTCCTCTCCCCTTCCATTTTTCTTTTCATTTCTTTGTTCCTTTGTTCCTTTTTGTTGTTTTTTATTTGGTCCTTTTTTCTCTGTTTTTCCCTCCGGTTTCCCCCTTCCCCCCTTTTCCCTTTCTTCTCTTTCCTTTTTTCAATTATATGATTCTAATTGATTTTTTTCCCTTGTTAGAATTGGTCTGGATATGAAGCTACTAAACGCATGAGACACAGAAATCATCTTAATTGGTAAGCTCCAATATTTCCCTAAAGTTTTACAGTTTCCTTTATTTAAAAAAGAAAGACATTTTTCCTGCTAAGATTTGTTAATCTTTCGATTAATAATCCAGAGATCTGAAATACTATTCTTCCATTGATTTAAGCATTGATTTCTCACTCTTTACTTTGATATGATGTGGGGAATTTTGCACCAGTGGTAGAATTTCTCGTGCACATTACTTTTCCTGGAGAAAGTTTTCGTGGTTGAAACTTGCAACAGTTTAATGCGAAACAATTTTTCTATGACATACAATTTTTGGACACAGAGTATATTTTTCTGAAGCTGTGGTGACTGACACCTTTGAAAAAATCCACCACATAGGAAGCAATTTCTTAAAGTTAGTAGTTTGGTATTGATGTCAATGAGGCTCCATTGTTTGTAAATAATACATTTATTTGGTTGAAGATGCTCCATTGAATTAGTTGTTATTTTTACTTTGTGACGGCCAAAAGGAGGAAATGGATGAATTGAATCAATATACTAATCTGTTGGTATGTTGTTCGATCTCTTCGAATTGATATAAATAGGAAAATCAGTGATTTGGATGGGAATGACTCGACATATTAAACATACTCAGTGTTTCCTCACTTAAACTATGATTCGCATTTCCTCTTCTAAATTTTTGAAAAAACTTCATACAGTATTTTATAATTGGGGCCATTTTGAACTTATTATGATTATTTTTCACTCCCATGTGAACTGGTTGATATTTTCTTAGGAAGTAAAAAAGGAAAAGAAGAAATAAAAAGGAACAAAGTGAGCCTCGCAATTGCATTTAATTGGGTTATCGTGCAGTGAACAAGGGCTACAGCTTGTAACATCAAAGCTTGGTTTTACGTTTTGCATTGCAGGAAAATTTGGAGAAGAAAAAGGACAACTAATTATCATAAACGTTGTTCCCTTAAAAGTTTTCCATTAGCTTGTTCATGATTGGATACTTCAGTAGTCATATTTTGTACTTTGTCCTTTATTATTAGTTTCATCATTGTATTATTTTTTAAAATTATTTATATGTCATTTCAATGTTTTTTAAATCAGTAGAATTCTAGAATCACTGGAAGTTGATTGAGATAAAAAAGGAGTTAAGTGGTCATCAATGTATCAAAATTCTCATGTTTTTGGTGTTTTTGCTTCTTATTCTCAAATTCAATGGTGACATTGGCTTTAAAAATTTACATCTCTTTCTTCTTCTCGAATAATGTATTAAATTATGTGAATAATGTATTTTCTGGTTTGACAAGTGCAAATATAGAAGATCCTTTGTTCTGTCTTTTTGAGAACCATTGATCATTTTCCAAAATGGTAACTCTGATATGATTGGAAAATATTATTGTTTATAATTTTGTTGGTATAGTCATTAAGAAACAAACAGTAAATTAAGGTTTTTATGCCGACGCTCTTATGTCTTTTAACATTCTGCTCCCAGGTAAAACCATTTTTATGGTTTGCATTATGTTGACATAAAGGGGTATCGAAGACTGCTACTTTTGCTTAACGTTGTTGAATTTTGCATACAAGTTCCATGAAGGTAAGATGCTCTATCAACTCAGTGTGAAGTCTTGCCGCAAAAGAAATTTTTTTTTTATTTTGTATCTGGGTTGGTTTTCCCATATAGGAAAGGTGGTTTAGTATGTTAATAGAACTTTCAAGATTGAATTTGTGGTGAGAAATGAGATTGGCAATAGTTGGAATTTGACAAACTATTGTTCAGTATAGCATTGATTAGGACCTAGCATTTTGTTCGAATATTATGGATTGGGCTGAAATTTGACAATAGTTTCAGTATAGCATTCATTAGGACCTAGCATTTTATTCGAATATTAGTAATCAAAAGAAAATTTTCTAAAAAATGGTTGATTTTGGTACGCGGGGTTAAGTAATTTTTTTACCTTTCTTAAAGTTTGCGTTTTAGATTACATCAGCTTGAAATGTTTAGAGTCGATTCATTGTAAGTTGACAACATAAAATGATTCACCTCATAATAGTAGGGTGGCCTTCAATATTAAATCTGCAACATTATACTTGTAAGTGGTATAGCCTCATATAATTCACGGGAGTTTCAGCTTTCTATTTGGCTGGTTGTTTAAACAGTTAACGTGAACAACTTGTTAGGGGATTACATTTTTATGTTTTTATTAGAAATCTGTTTTAATTTGAATTTTTGAATTTTAAGTCATCGCATACCCTTGTTCTTATAAAATGATGAAAACCAGTTAGATGACTCCAGTGTACCTGTTTTACAATATTGTCACATTTCAAATTTCCAAATTGCTCCTAACATTCTTTTTATTGATCTTGTTGTAAATAATCACTTGTGATGATGTAGTACTTCTGACAGAATTAGCGGCTGAATTTCTAGGATGAAGAGTGCGAAAAGTTGATTATCTACTTGAGATGACTGCTTTTTCGCTTTTCTCCTATACTGGCATGATCAAGACGCAAGATCAGATCTTTCCAACCACGAATAGTGTGCATTTGACAGTTTGAATTTCCTTTTTTTTTTATAAATCTTGCCCCGGTGATGATTAGTAATCATCCAAAATTATACATGTATAAATATATTTATGGGAACATCAACAATTGTCTAGAGATCAATTGGCCTCTTTACTTATTCAATAATTCCTTTCTCGTAAATTTTTTTTCTATGATAGCTTTATTGCTTTCAACTGAATTGTGTTTTTCTCCAATTAGGAAGTGTTTGGCTTCAACAATTTATCACGGTATTAGATGACAACATCCTTAATTTTGTACAGTGCAAAGCTATGGTTCCAACAAATATACCAAAGCTGAATTTATGGTTGATTTTGTTACATACAAGGTTGTGGCTATACAGCATGTGCTCCATCTCATACCAATTGTGATTCACTACTGCTTGCATATATATGTTTTCAATATTTGGAGATGGTTCGATCACCGTAGGCATAATTGCAATACGACCGATATAATCCCACAGATGCGCAATGATTTGAAAATGCATCAAAACAATTTTTAAAATTATTCTGGAAAATCTCAGAATCCAAATGAGGCTTCAGTAATTGCCAATATTAAGGACAATATAATGTATTGTGTTCCGTTACATACAAATGCTTATCTAATATTCAACTTTATTTATAAATTATTAATAGATTTTGGCACCTACCAACCTTTTGTTTACATTTATCATTTGCATTGCATCTTCTCAAACAACTATAGGTCTCTCTAGACATCCACAAGTTACACAATCCTCAAGAGTCATGGTCATATGAGTTCTACATCTCAAGATATAGCTATGTTATTGTGAGAGCTCGCTATATCAAGGATTCAACTTTTATTGAACATATTACACTACTAATCATCACCACTTTCACACCTACTAATCATCACTGCATTTCCATATTGCACTATTAAACACATTACATTACACATTTTCCAATCTTCTTATTATTTTTCCTCAAATTTTAATTACCCATATACTTATTCAAAACACAACCCGGAATACATCTTTATTATTTTAATTCATCGGCATTACAATATTTCAAAAACACATTAGGCATTAGTGGGCATAATTCCATTCATCCATCGCGCATCGCGCGATGATCTCCTCCTAGTTAACATATATAGTTCAATGTGTGAATGCCATTCCCTCAAATTGAACTCAATTGCTGATGTGGCGCTCTCCCATTGGTCAATTGGTGATAGTCCTCCAATTGATTCCAATTTGATGAGTTGTCATCCTTTGATTCGTCGATTGGTGGTAGTCCTCCTAATTGTTTGATGTGGCGATTTTTAATTGGTCAATTGTGATGAAATTTGGCATTCTTTTTTCCTTCCCTAACGTTTTTTTTTTCTATGCTCACTTGAATTGTTTTGTTTTTGATTGGTTATATGTTAATGCGGTGTTAAGTTTTTTTTTTAGATTGCTATCGAAAAAATGCCCTCTTTTTTCGTTGGCCGTTTTTAGTCTTCCGCCAAATTGCATCTATTTACTAATACTTTGCAATTAATTATTGCTGGCTGCTTAATAATGCTTTTTTTTTTGTCATCCAATGGATCGCGTCTAATTAGCAATTTCTTGCAGTTGTTAGGGAAAAAAAAAGGCCTTTTTTGCCAGAAAAAAAATTAATTATCACCTTTTTTGTTTAATGGATGCTATCGAAAAAAATGCCCTTTTTGTCATTAAAGTTTCATTAGTTAATTAATACTTTCATTTTTTTTCCCAATTAATGGTTTGTTCGTTAGTCGCTTCTTTTTTATGCTCAGGCGGATCGTATGAATAAAAAATGTCCTTTTTTCCTCCTCCACCCAATTGCATGTATTTACCGACACTTTGCGCTTAATTGTTAATAGCTACTTTTTTTTCCCACAAATGAATTGTTAATAGCTACTTAATAGTGCCTTTTTTTGGTCATCCAATAAATCGTGTTTAATTAGTGCTTCCTTGCAGCTATTAGCCAAAAAAAGGCCTTTTTTTTGTTCCAAAAAAAATTTTTTGATTATCAATTTTTTTTAAATTTTATCGAATAGATGCCCTTTTGCCATTAATGCTTCGTTAGTTAATTAGTAATTTCACTTTTCTTTTTCTCTTGATGATTCATTATTTATTTGGCCGCTCTTTTTTTTACTCCAATGGATCGTGTTAACAAAAAAATGGCCCTTTTTTCCTTCCACCAAACTGCATCTATTTATCAATACTTTGTAATTAATTGTTAATGGCTATTTAATAATGTCTTTCATTTTGGTCATCCAATGGATCGTGTTTAATTAGCGATTCCTTCAATTGTTAGCAAAAAAAAAAAAAACCTTTTTTCCAAAACAAATAATAATTATCATTTTTTACAATTGATTGTTAACAATTATTTATTGCCTGATTAGACCCAATATGTTGGATTAGCAAAAAAGTGCAACTGCTTTTTCTCTTGACACTCATATTTACCTATCAATTTCTCACTGTTAATTGTCAGCAGTTAATTAATAACGCGTTCTATTTGTTCTATTGTCCAACAAAATTATGTTTAATTGTTGGTTTTTCCTCGTCACTTTTTATTTGTTATTGTTAATGATTAATTAGTTGGCCTGCATTTTTAACTGTTAAAAAAAAATGCCTCTCTATTAATATCTTTTTTCCTGAACAAAATCTTCTTTCGTATATTTGTCTGGAAAGTTACACTCTTCCGTTGCTTGCATCGATTTTTTAATCTGCTTTCTGCGCATCTTAATCAAATGCATCCTCAGCCGTCACTTCCGATTACTTTCATTTGGTGGGGAGTTGTATTTGATGGGAAAGTTGGGACCTCTATTTTACTATACTACCCAGCCTCTATCTTTCGATTTGCTCAATTTCTCTTTCTTTTTGTCTCTTACTCATGGTCATGTTTGTAAAAATGGAGTAGCCATCACTGTTGCCTTCTGCTAAACATCATCTTTCAGCATTGCTCTGTTTAGGGATAATTCTATGTTTTCCCTTTGTACGATGGTTGTTAGCATTGCCTGGTTTGTCCTAGCAGGACCTTGGCGGCTTACCATCATGATCGGTGGTCGATCTGCAGCTGCAGCATTTTTCCTTCTAATCCCTTTCGGTTGCTTTTTCGCTGGACAGAACAAAGGTTAGCTATCAACTTGCTTCTTCTCTTGCTCTTGCTTCTTTTTGACTTTTTCATTGCTAATTTTCTGGCTTTGTTTCAGCTTGCAAAGTTGCTATTGCTGCTGTTTTACTGGTGAGCGTCTTGCTCCAAGATCGTTTTACTTAGTCTCTCTGCACCTGTTGAGCTTTTTTCCAAAAAATAATTAGCTTATTGCCTTCTTATTTTACTTATTTTTTCTTATTGCTTTGTCATTTTACTTAGTTATTGCCTTCTTTTTTCAAGAACGGTTTCTTTCTTTTCTCCCGCACCAGTTTAATCCCTTTAATTTTTTCATTGCACTTGGTCTATTAACACGGATTTATTTTTTCTTGTTCTGTTTCTTTTTGCTATTAGCTTTTGTATGCTCAATTTTATCGTGGTATCGCCTACTCTTCTTTGATTCTGCCCCATCGCTTTTTTTGCAGCCAAACAGGTTAGTGTTTCTGGTTCTCCTCTCTTCCCTCTTTCTTTTATATTTTGCTATTTAGATTCTGTCTCTATCACTTTTATTTTCTGCTATGTCGTTGGTTGCATCTTGTTTGAGTCTCACAGTCTCACTTCTTTGGCTTTGAATTGTGGAAGCTTATTTACTTCTTTCCGAAATTTTTTGGATGACTATGTTGGGTTAACAAGGAGTTATTCAGCTCCGGGTCCTGTACTATTACAACTGAAGGATAGAAATTACAAGCAGCCTTGCATTCCATGCTGAACTACCTTTTGTTACTTATTTTGTGCGTCCATTTCGTTTGTTTGCTGCTTATTTGCTAGCTGTTAGATTCCGTATCTTTCAAGTTGTGTTTTTGCTCGACTAACCTATTTAATATTATTCCTTTTTAGGTTAATTCAAGTGGATCGTGATGAAGCTTGAAGCATTAGTGATGGTAATTTTGCTAAAAGCTTTAAGATTTATTTATGCCACTCAAAATGGGTTCGAATTGAACAGCAAGAGGTAGCATGTTTAGATTTGATTATTTAATCTAAGATATATAATTTTGTCAACATACACAGTGAAAGCAGATTTTTCAATTCTTTTAAATTTTGTTGTTCTTTCATAAATAGCTAAATGTGAAAAATCTTCTTCATGTAGTTCATTTTTTCTTTTCTTTCACATTTTCTGAATTTGTTGTCTTCTCATTTTCTTGATATTCAAGGCATACAATGATGCTTGGCATAGAAGATTATTAACCATGGCTGAAATTGTTGGAGACAAATCAAATGCCTAAATGGCAATTTGTTTGGATATAGTATGCAATCATAGTGGTTTGTTTTAATAAGTTCTCATTTGATGGGATTATCATGGATGTAGGATAATGCTTGACTGCCATTAGCAGATTCTGATAATAATTTTGCTTTGATCAAAATCTGAATTCTTTTCCCTTTCCCTTTTTTCTGGTTTTGTCAGCTATTTTTTTTTTAATGAATTTTAACTGTTCCTTTTTCCCCCTGGGATTTTTTTTGCTGGTTCTCCGTAATTGCTTTCTACATTTATGTCATATATGTTTTAACTTTTCAATTCCCCAGACTAGAAACTTGCACAATGTTCTCTGAAAGTTCTTTTTCTTCTTGTATCTGACTTGATCAGAACTAAGGATTACAGGCGAAGTTTAGTCTCTTAGTTTCATTGGAGGAGTATTGTTGATTGCATGTTGATATTGGAGTATTTTGTGGTGAAAACCTTATGGCTGAAGAAGTTATTTGAGAATTTAAGGTGTCCAAAAAGCACTACGAAACAAGAGTATAGTTAGCTGTTCAAAGTATAGGTACTAGAGTACTTTTGGATCAATGTAACTTTTTATTGTTTATCTTGTTTCCTCCAAACGTGATTGATATTTACATTACTAATGTACTTTTGGATCAATATAACTTTAGTTCTATGTCTTATTTCCTTTGGACAAGATTGAAATTTACATTCATAGAGCCAATTTCAATGTAACTTTTATGTTATTTATCTTTTATTATACAGTATTGGGCATCATCGAACAGACTCTACAATTAAACACCGCGCGATCCTCTCCTAGT